GGATAATAAATCCTTAAACTATTTTTTAAAAAATTGGTCACTCAATCCGCAATTGTTAGTGGGACACTGCTGTGTGCAATTGGCTGCTGAGTTTTGCCCACAAAATAAGTCGATTCACTTTACAATATATTCTGTGAAGCACTTTGAGACATCTCGAAGACGTGATAAGGCACTATATCAAATGCAAGGATTATTATTATTATTATTATTATATCAAATGCAAGGATTATTATATAGATCGGGAGGACATCTCAAAGTGCTTCAAAGATCTGTTTGGGAACCAGAGGAAGGAGAGAATCAACAAAGTTTTTAGAATTTTATTGAATTGAACAGCAAGTTTATGATGTTTAAAATCCAATCATATGATTTTGAATTACCAGAATAAGCTTGGACTCTTCAGCTATGAAAAAAGACATCTCAGAGTAGATCTTGTAAAGGTAACAAGATCTTAAGTGGGATTGCGAAAGCCAAACAGAGTTTATTGTAGAGCTCAGTGATTGTGCATTGTCCAGGCGAGATGAAAGAGGGCACAAAATCAGTGCCAATCAAGAACAATTTTAGGACACCCAGAAGTATTTCTTTACAGAGGATAATCAGCAGCTGTAACAGATTACCAGCAAATAATAATAATCCTTGCATTTGATATTACGCCTTATCTCATCTTCGAGACCTATCAAAGTGCTTCACAGAGTATACTGTGAAGTGAATTGATTGTATATTTTGTGACCGAAACGCGACAACCAATTACGCACAGCAGCACCCCGGCCATGGATTGAGCGACCAATTTATTATTCTTTTTAAACTACCGCCCCATTTCCAACTTCCCCCTCCTCTCCAAGGTCCTGGAATGAGTTGTTGCTTCCCAGCTTCGCTCCTCCCTCTCCCGCCACTCCCTTCACGAACCCCTCCAATCGGGCTTCCGTGCCGCCCAACAGCACAGAAACAGCCCTGGTCAAAGTGACAAATGATATTCGGTCCATCTGAGACCAGGGCTCCCTCTGCCTCCTCGTCCTCCTTGACCTCTCTGCTGCCTTCTTCACTGTTGACCACTCTATCCTCATCCACCGTCTCTCCTCTCACCTCAACCTTCCCGGTTCTGTCCTTGAATTGTTAGATCCTACCTCTCACATCATCTCCATCTCATCTCCTCAAACGGCTTCTCCTCTAGCCCCTACACCCTCTCATGCAGGGTTCCTCAGGGTTCTGTCCTTGGTCCCCTCCTCTTCAATATCTATATGCTCCCTCTTGGTGACATCATCTGCAGACATGGGGTCAACTTCAACATGTATGCGGATGACACCCAACTCTACCTTTCTGCCTCCACCCTTGACTCCAGGACCACTGCTGTCCTGATAGAATGTCTGTCAGACATCAAGTCCTGGATGAGAGATAACTTTCTTCATTTGAATGTCAACAAGACCGAGGCTCTCCTGATTGGCTTCCGTCAGCAACTCCACACCTCAGGCGCTGACAACATCACCATCCATGGTTGCACGTTACCGTGCGAGTCTCTGGAACTTTGGCTTCTTGTTTGACTCTCAACTATCCTTTCTACCCCACATCCATGCCATGAGTTTGCAACCTTCTGACTCAAGAGGCAAGTGCTACCAACGGAGCGAGGTTGGCACCTGTGAGGCACAACAGAGATAGGCCAAGGCACCTGTCCTTCCACACAGCCTCTGCTAACTACAGCACAATAGCCGAGATATGTAACTGTGTGTCGAGCCTCTATTTCTCCCTCTTTTGTGTCCGGAGTGCCGATAGGCTTGTGCTGGCGGAAAGTTCCGGCAGACCTTTTTTACTTCACAAACAGTCTCGGTTAAAAAAAACCCTTTTAATTTTGCCGTGTTTCACTAACTTTACGAGGTGAGCACAACTGGTTTGTGTGTGACTCTCCACAAATGTCCAGCACAGCCTCGTTAACTTTAATGGGTTTAGTACATTTTCACTGCTGTGAATGGTCCGTCTTGTATGTATGCATATAATTACCCCTTTGAACTACCTTACGTTGGGCATCTTTTGGAGACACAAGTGGCAGTGTGTAGGCAAGTTGGGGAGGAGTCTCTGAAATCGATATGCTGAAATTGTGGACCTTCAATTTTTTTTATTCAAAGACATTTGTCAGACTTGCAAGTTAGGACCTTCGGTATACAGAATAATCCCTTCTAAAAAAATAATGCGGTCACTCAATCCGCAACTGTCTGCCGCGTTTTGCCCACAAAATATACAGTCGGTTCACTTTAGTGTGTATTCTGTCAAGCGCTTTTGAGACGTCTCGAAGATGTGATAAATCGCTATATCGAATGCAAGGATTATTGTTATGAAAATTACCTTCTCAAAATTGAACTTCGCGCACACATTGTTCCAGGTGTTTTGAACTACCTCCTTTCAAATGTTCGCCGACCAAAAGGGTGCGTGGCAAGTGATCTTGAAAATTCAAGCCTCCCCTAACATTGTAGCCAACAAGCCTTAAAGCTGTTTGAAATTTTAATTTGGTCATTCAATCCACGTGGGACACTGCTATCTGCAATTTGGCTGTCATGTTTCACCCACAAAATATACAGTCAATCCGCTTTACAGTATATTCTGTGAAGTGCTTTGAGACGTCCAGAAGACATGAAAAGTGCTATATCAAATGCAAGGATTATTATTATTATATATAAAATGCAATTACTTTGTTATTCCTCTTTCTCTGCCTACTGATTGCCTGCTTGTCTGCAAACATGTTATGCAGACAAGTAGGCAATCAGTGTGGCATTGTGTATCATTCGGAGTCCTGTAGCTCAGCGGTTAGAGCATTCGCTTTGCAAGTGAGAGACCTGAGTTCAATTCCAGGCAGAGGGCGAAACCTTGGGCAAGTTTCCTTACTCCACACAGAGCCTAATAATAATCCCTCCAAAACCAAAAACAATAATAAATTGGTCATTTTCAATCTACGACTGTTTGTGGGACATTGCTGTGCGCAATTGGCTGCCGCGTTCGCCCACAAATATACAGTCAATTCACTTTACAGTGTGTTCTGTGAAGCGCTTTGGGACGTCCTCCCAACGTGAAAAGCGCTGTATCAAATGCAAGGATTATTATTATTATTATTTGCCTACTTACTGATTGCCTCCCTGCCTGTTGCCTGTTTACTTATTGCTTGGCTACCTGCTTATAATGATAATAATAATCCTTGGTTTTGATATAGTGCCTTATCACGTCTTCTCGACGTCTCAAAGCGCTTCACAGAACACACTGTAAAGTGAATTGACCGTATATTTGTGGGCGAACGCGGCAGCCAATTGCGCACAGCAGTGTGCCACAAACAGTCGTAGAATGAAAATGACCAATTTATTGTTTTGTTTTGGAGGGATTATTATTAGGAGTGTGGAGTGAGGAAACTATATATATATATACACACAGAATATATCCGGGGTAATAATTCCCTCAAAAAAAATTGGTCACTTCAATCCATGACTGTTTGTGGACACTGCTGTGTGCAATTGGCTGCTCACAAAATATACAGTCAATTCATTTTACAGTATATCCTGTGAAGAGCCTTTAGACGTCTCGAAGGCGTGATGAGGCGCTGTATCAAATGCAAGGATTATTATTATCAATATTATTATTAGTATTATTATCAGTATTATTATTGGTAGTATTATTGATAATTACTGGTATTATTAGTAGTATTATTACCACTATTATTGTTATTGGTAATGATATTCGTAATTATTGGTAGTATTATTGGTAATTTTTGGTATTATTAGTATTATTATCAGTATTATTAGTAGTATTATCAATATTATTATTATTGGTAGTATTATTGATAATTATTGGTAGTATTATTAGCAGTATTATTATTATTGGTAGTATTATTGGTAATATTAGCATTATTATCAGTATTATTATTGGTAGTATTATTGGTAATTATTATTAGTATTATTAGTAGTAGTATTATCAGTATTATTATTGTTGGTAGCATTATTGGCAATTATTGGTATTATTAGTAGTGGTATTATCAGTATTATTATTTGTAGAATCGTTGGTAATTATTATTAGTATTATTAGTAGCAGTATTATCAGTATCATAATTGTTGGTAGTATTATTGGTAATTATTAGTAGTATTAGTGTCAGTATTATCAGTATTAGTACTATTATTAATAGTATTAGTGTCAGTATTATCAGTATTAGTACTATTATTAGTAGTATTAGTGTCAGTATTATCAATATTAGTGCTATCATTAGTAGTATTAGTGTCAGCATTATCAGTATCAGTACTATTATTAGTAGTATTGGGGTCAGTATTATCAGTATTAGTGCTATTATTAGTAGTATTAGTGTCAGTATTATCAGTATTAGTACTATTATTAGTACTATTAGTGTCAGTATTATCAGTATTAGTACTATCATTAGTAGTATTAGGGTCAGTATTATCAGTATTAGTGCTATTATTAGTAGTATTATTGTCAGTATTATCAGTATTAGTACTATTAGTATTAGTATCAGTATTAGTGCTATTATTAGTAGTATTAGTGTCAGTATTATCAGTATTAGTACTATTATTAGTAGCATTAGTGTCAGTATTATCAGTATCAGTGCTATTAATAGTAGTATTAGGGTCAGTATTATCAGTATTAGTGCTATTATTAGTAGTATTAGTGTCAGTATTATCAGTATTAGTGCTATTATTAGTATAGGGTCAGTACTATCAATATACTATACTGTATATATAGTATCAGTATTAGGAGCATTGCTGTCAAGAGTATTATTATTGCTGTGCAGAGGGGATGGCCTGTCTATGCCCCGCCCCCTCCCCGACCACCTGACCCCAGCCGGAGGGCCGAGTTCTAGCGCATGCGCAGAGCGGGGTGGCGGGGGGGGAGTGAGAGAGAGAACCTCAGGCAAAGACCACGTGACCAAAGGAGCGACGAGCCGAGGCCGGTGCCACCGCCTCCTCCCTCCGGCCGCGGCGCTGGCTCTGCCGATCGGTTCCTAGCAACCAACCGGAGGAGGAGGAGAGAAGAGGAGGGTAGTGGTGGTTGTTGTTGTTGTTGTTGTTGGGGGGCAACCGACTCCGGTGCCGGAAGGGAAAGGCGGAGGATATTTTTTTTCACATTCCTTCCTTCCTTCCTTCGAAATCTATATTTATAGATATATTTATTGTGTCTGTAAACCGTCAAAATTTAAAATTCGATTTTTTAAAAAAAAACGGCCGCACAGAGAGAGAGAGAGAGAGAGAGCGCGAGGCCGCGCGCGGCAGCCGTGCAACCGGTAAGTAACCCTCACACCCCCCCACCCCCCCCCAACCCAGGGCATCAACTCTAAACTACCCCCCCCCCTCACTAGCTCTAAACTACCCCCCCTCACTAGCTCTAACTACCCCCCCCCTCACTAGCTCTAACCCCCCCCCTCACTAGCTCTAAACTACCCCCCCCCTCACTAGCTCTAATCTACCCCCCCCCTCACTAGCTCTAACCCCCCCCCCCTCACTAGCTCTAAACTACCCCCCCCTCACTAGCTCTAAACTACCCCCCCCTCACTAGCTCTAATCTACCCCCCCCCCCCTCACTAGCTCTAACCCCCCCCCCCTCACTAGCTCTAAACTACACTAGCTCTAAACTACCCCCCCTCACTAGCTCTAAACTACCCCCCCTCACTAGCTCTAAACTACCCCCCCCTCACTAGCTCTAAACTACCCCCCCCTCACTAGCTCTAAACTACCCCCCCCCTCACTAGCTCTAAACTACCCCCCCTCACTAGCTCTAAACTACCCCCCCTCACTAGCTCTAAACTACCCCCCCCCCTCACTAGCTCTAAACTACCCCCCCTCACTAGCTCTAAACTACCCCCCCCTCACTAGCTCTAAACTACCCCCCCTCACTAGCTCTAAACTACCCCCCCCTCACTAGCTCTAAACTACCCCCCCTCACTAGCTCTAAACTACCCCCCCCCACTAGCTCTAAACTACCCCCCCTCACTAGCTCTAAACTACCCCCCCCCTCACTAGCTCTAAACTACCCCCCCCCTCACTAGCTCTAAACTACCCCCCCCTCACTAGCTCTAAACTACCCCCCCCTCACTAGCTCTAAACTACCCCCCCCTCACTAGCTCTAAACTACCCCCCCCTCACTAGCTCTAAACTACCCCCCCCTCACTAGCTCTAAACTACCCCCCCCTCACTAGCTCTAAACTACCCCCCCCACTAGCCCAAATCCCCCCCCCACTAGCTCTAAACTACCCCCCCTCACTAGCTCTAAACTACCCCCCCTCACTAGCTCTAAACCCCCCTCACTAGCTCTAAACTACCCCCCCCTCACTAGCTCTAAACTACCCCCCCTCACTAGCTCTAAACTACCCCCCCCTCACTAGCTCTAAACTACCCCCCCCCTCACTAGCTCTAAACTACCCCCCCCTCACTAGCTCTAAACTACCCCCCCCTCACTAGCTCTAAACTACCCCCCCCCACTAGCTCTAAACTACCCCCCCCTCACTAGCTCTAAACTACCCCCCCCTCACTAGCTCTAAACTACCCCCCCCTCACTAGCTCTAAACTACCCCCCCTCACTAGCTCTAAACTACCCCCCCTCACTAGCTCTAAACTACCCCTCCCCTCACTAGCTCTAAACTACCCCCCCCCACTAGCTCTAAACTACCCCCCCTCACTAGCTCTAAACTCCCCCCCCCCACTAGCTCTAAACTACCCCCCCCCTCACTAGCTCTAAACTACCCCCCCTCACTAGCTCTAAACCCCCCCCTCACTAGCTCTAAACTACCCCCCCCCTCACTAGCTCTAAACTACCCCCCCTCACTATCTCTAAACTACCCCCCCCTCACTAGCTCTAAACTACCCCCCCCTCACTAGCTCTAAACTACCCCCCCCTCACTAGCTCTAAACTACCCCCCCCTCACTAGCTCTAAACTACCCCCCCCCTCACTATCTCTAAACTACCCCCCCCTCACTAGCTCTAAACTACCCCCCCTCACTAGCTCTAAACTACCCCCCCTCACTCGCTCTAAACTACCCCCCCCTCACTAGCTCTAAACTACCCCTCCCCTCACTAGCTCTAAACTACCGCCCTCTCACTAACTCTAAACTACCCCCCCTCACTAGCTCTAAACTACCCCTCCCCTCACTAGCTCTAAACTACCCCCCCCTCACTAGCTCTAAACTACCCCTCCCCTCACTACCTCTAAACTACCCCTTCCCTCACTAGCTCTAAACTACCCCTCCCCTCACTAGCTCTAAACTGGCCCCCGCCCTGGCTCCAAACTTTCTCTGGTTCAAAGCTATTCCTTGAATTTCATCGCCAGCAAAGCATTCTGTCCCTGAATCCACAGACTATTTGTGGGACACTGCTGCGCGTAGTTGGCTGCCGTGTTTCCCCCACAAATGACACAGTCAATGACGTTTCAATGACATGATAAGGCGCTTAATCAAATGCACAGATTATTATTATCATCACTCTCGGCTCCGAGTAAGAAGATTGAGCTCAAGCCTACTTCAGGACTTTGAACTCGTTGCTTTACATCCAGTGCTATATTAGGTGCTGTCTTTTAGATGAGTCGTTATACCGATGTCAGTGCCTGTTCAGGTGGACATTAAAGATCTCACAGCACTTTTTCAAAAAAGGAGGCAGTTTCTGCTGGTGTCCCGGCCAATAATCTTGTCGAAAAAAAAATGTCTGCTTATGGAACATTGCTGTGAGCTAATTGGCTGCTGCATTTGCCTACACAATACGCAGTAAATCCAATGAAGGTCTTTGAGACGTTTCAATGATGTAATAAAACGTTAAATCAAATGTAAGGATTATTATATTATAAACTTCAGAAGCGATGATTCCCCCAACTATGGGTGGAATCTTCTCTGACCTTGTTTTGGACTTGACAAGATGGTAATCCCAGACCTGTTGGATACTGCAGTTGCGTGTCCTCGTTCATTGCCTCTCCTTTCCACACCCGGCTTCATTACTGCTGTTTAAAATGGTCAGTACTTTGTGTCAGACATTAAATGCTGAAGCTTTGACATACACACTCCCCAAATAGTGAACATAACGTTTCTGTACATCTGTCAGTGCTGTAGTACTAAGTAGCTGCCAGCAACATTTCAACTCTCCTGACTTGATATTTTAACCTACGTGCTCAAGTGTCAGAAGATTAAAAAACAAAGTTAAATGCGCCAAGATATACAAAGCGAATGTAAATTAAAGAGTCTTGCCAGGACGTATGGTGGAATGAACGTAAACAGGTTTTAAAAAAAAGAATAACATTCATGGGAAAATCTAATAAAACTAGCATATGAAAATGAAATATTTGGTGCTTGCTACTCATTGTATTTCGATTATTTAGTATTCTTTCAGACTTAAATTGACATTTGGAGTTGACATTATGACTCCTGAGCAGTAGAAGTGAGTTTTTATGGACTGATCTGTGAATGTCAGATTAAAAATTGGTAATTCAATTTTCTGACGTTGGACGATTACTGGGTAGGAGATGGGAGGCGTAATCTTATCGAGGGATTCAGATGGCATCTCAAAAGGAAAGGGCAAAGCTCAAGCAGTCTGTCATTTGAATCCTAACTTAAATTAGTTTCATTGTAATCGCTTTCATGTGGCCTTTTTATTTTTACGTTTCAATTGAAATCTGATCACTTCTATTTCTGTGGGAAAATTGTTTTGTTTACTGATCTCTCCCCCCGCCCCCCCCCCCCCCCCCCCCCGACAACAATGACGAGTGAGAGTGCCTCAGGACCTTAGCCACAATAACAGTCCATTGAGTTGGAGTCCTGTAGCTCAGTGGTTGAGCACTTGCTTTGCAAGTGAGAGACCTGAGTTCAATTCCAGGCAGAGGGCGAAACCTTGGGCAAGTTTCCTTACTCCACACAGAGTCTAATAATAATCCCTCCAAAACCAAAAACAATAATAAATTGGTCATTTTCAATCCACGACTGTTTGTGGGACATTGCTGTGCGCAATTGGCTGCCGCGTTCGCCCACAAATATACAGTCAATTCACTTTACAGTGTGTTCTGTGAAGCGCTTTGGGACGTCCTCCCGACGTGAAAAGCGCTATATCAAATGCAAGGATTATTATTATTATGTACTTGCTGACCAGATTGGATTTGTGACACAATGGCTGTAATTTAATGTTTATTTTACAGCAACGTGTTTCAAATCCTGTTCCCTTTCTAAGTATTTTGGCTACTAAATACTGCTACTAAATACTAAATATAGGGTTGTGTCACCAATAAATATCAGTGGATGAGATTGTGCAGCGCAGTGAGGTCAAAACCTGAACTGCATAACTGACTCAAATTCCGAGGAATTTGACGGGTTGCGGCTGCAGTACACTAAAATCGAAAAGACCACCAGAGATTAGACACGTGAAAAAGAAGTGGTTAAATCACAAGCTTGGATCTTAACTGCTTGTAGATTGCAGGGACGACAAGAGTGAGGTAAGGCATCATAATCTTTGTGGTTCTTGGAAATGCCTTGAGTTTTGATTTCACAACTGAAAATGGTACAGTTTGCGTGTTTGGAGCTCGGAAAGAACACGAGGAGGAAGGTTCAGAGGAGCAAAGATGATAGTGCTATTGAGAGAGAGAGAGAGAGTTTGGGAATGGTTGCGAAAGCTGAGACTTAGTGGTCACCTTCACTGGAACTTTTGCACGTGGAGGTTTGCTGGTAAGGGGCACTTCCGTTAACCTCCCTCACCCAGTCAAATTGTTTGCAGACATTCAAATATTTGGCTTCAGAAAGGAACAAGTGCCTACTTGGGTGAGCTACTGGGAAGTCTGCCATTGGCTTTGGAATAGAGGGTTCAATTAAGGACCGGATGAGAATTGGTTATAATAATAATAATCCTTGCATTTGATATAGCGCCTTATCATGTCTTCTAGACGTCTCAAAGCGCTTCAGAGAATATACTGTAAAGCGAATTGACTGTGTTTCCTGGAGGAAACAAGACAGTCAATTGCGCACAACAGTGTCCCACAAACAATCATGGATTAAGTGAACAAATTATTATTTTTTAAATAATAAGGGATTGTTGCCCCTGGAAAAGTGATCTGCCAATCGACTAACAACCAGGTACCTACTTACTGCTAGGTAAACAGGCATTTCAGTAAGGAAACTTGTCCAATGTTTTGCCCTGCCCGGAAATCAAATCCAGGTTCTCTCGCTTGCAAGGCGAGTGCTTTAAGCACTGAGCTACAGGACTCCATAGAGGGATAGGGAGGGTAGGAGAAAGACAGGTAAACAACCATAAATATAAAAAGTAAATGGGTGTGAATGTCACAAATGCCATTGATAAATTATGCATCTCACCAGGCTGTTCAAATCAAAGTGATATCTTCTGTAATGTGTGGGATTTTGTTTATACAGTGAGTAGGAGTAGTTTACAGCTTGAAAATGTGACTGCAGGACTTACTGCAGGGCTACTTACAAACTTTCCTGTGCGGAGAGACACTTAGAGCCAAGTAACTGCAAGATTAGTATTTAGCTGCCCTCCCCCCCCCCCTTCTTTAAGCGTCTTGTTCAGCTTTTCCAATGATGACTGGCATTGTCCACCAGTGTATTGCAATCCATGGAAAAATCTTAAAAATCAGAAATTGCATCATCATGTGAGATGCATGTGTGCGTGAATCAAAATGTGCAAAAAATTAGTACTTTACGTGGAATATGTTTGTGGATTAATTGTACGAAGAAATACGCAGCTGGGGATGGTGAGTTAGGAAGCTTAACTCCTCATGTGTAGCACAGATCAGTGAGTTACTTTAATTGGATTCCGAGAGGTTAAGAGAAAAATTTGGCTGAAGATGTTTTGTGGGCTTCAAAATTCTTCCAACAAAGTGCTTCAAATTTGTCTCCTGTTCAAGTGTGTTACTTCTAAATATTCTGGACTTCACTGGCTCAATTTACAATGATTATTCCTTTCGTATTGTGTTTTAAAATCACAAGTAGATCATAAATGCAGCACCTGCAATATAAATGTTTTTACAAAGGTATACAAAGAGGCTGTTGCATTTTAACTGACACGTGGAGAAGAATGCCCTTGTGTTTCTAAGAAGACGAGGGATTGAAGAATATTAAGGGGTTTTGAACTATTTTTAAAAAAGGACAGGGTTATTTAGCCTAATTGCAAAATCCTTCAATGGAATAGACTCCAGTCAATGGACAATATATTGACTTGTGAGCCTTTAAGTTCACCATTTACAGTTTTACCATTTTATGAAATCTGAAATAGCACAGTAGAAAGAGAGAAACAAATATACGGGATCAGAGAAGACATAAGTCAATTTGGCAGATCTAAGAGTAAAAATCTGCCCTAGGGATTCTGAAAATGTTAATTGTAGCTTCTGTTTGGAGATTCAAAATAAAACCTGCCAACTTTTGAAGCAAGGTCAGAGCTGTGTTTTCAGGACAGCCAAAGCACTATCCTGATTTCAACAACAAGAACTACTTGCATTTATGTAGTGCCCTTCACACAGCAGAGCACTGACTTTGGTTTACCATCGTAGACAAAGATTTACTTTTGGGCCTTTTGTCTTCTTTCACTCCGAAATGCACCTCCATACCTGTCCGATCTGCTCCACCACCCGCTGCCTCTGCTTGACTGGCTCCGATCTCCTATTTATCCCTTGTCCTCTCCACTCCAGCATCTCTGGCTGTGCCTTCAGTCACTACGCCCCGAAACTCTGGAACCCTCTCCCTCAATCCCTCTGCCTTGCCCCCTCCCTCCCCGCCTTCAAATCTTGCCTGAAGATCTTTTTGATCGTGTTTAAGGTCACCTCACCACTCCTCCCCGTGAATTGACGTCAGACTCCGCCACTGTCAAGCACTCTGGGACGCTACCCCGCTGAAGGACATTAGATAAATGCAAGTTGTTGTTGTTTGCTCATTAATGCCTTGCCCAACGCATATGGCATCAGTGATCAGTGCCCCAAATCTCACCATCACAAGTTAATTCTATACAGTAAAATATTCTACTTGCTCCTCTCAAGGTCCAGTTGTGACTAAAGCAAGTATTGTCAGGTAAAGACTGAGTTCTGATTGAAACTATCTTATTTCTAAGTATTCCTTTAACTAATTAGGTATTGAAATCTTAAATTTTGCAAAAAGAAAAATTCAGTTTTACATCTTTGATTCGTGATTGCTATTTAATTCTTAAATAATGGTATTAAAATTAAAAACAATTCCTGTGCCACTAAAAATATCAATATATAAGTTGACTTTTGTTGCAGTTTGTTTGAATGCAAGTACAGCTTTGCAGCTGAAAGGGTTAATGCCGAAAGACTGTAAAAAGGAAGTGCTGAATCAAATGTTGAATTGTTTTTGGAATTAACTTATTTTGTTGAGTGCCAATGAATTTTTTTTAATATTTATTCAAATTCGATGTTGTGTGAGAACTCCACCAATTATGCAAATACCCCGTGATTGACAGTGGATGTGGGGGCAGTCAAAGGTGGTACAAGATTATTACATGAGAAACTACACCACCCGCATAAGAAATGAGGCAACACATTTGTTGTGTTATGTGGGTTTTGTGAGTGATAGGAGATCCACATACTTACTTGGCATCTACGCTGTTTTTACTCGATGGACGTTAATGTTCCATATGGATTTTTGTGGATGAAGTGCGTGGTAGAAAGAATGTAAGCTGTTTTCTTGAATGCTACTGTGGTGGAACTGCTCTGTTGTGTTATCTGCTCCCAGTAGCCTGCACATAAATCCTAGTGTGGAGGCAGGGGAGAGAGAGGATTCCCAATCCATTCGACGAAGTCGCGTTCACACTGCTATCCATCAAGGCTTTTAGTTTGTACTTACTTACTGTTGTGAAAATACACATTAGGGAAATAACTCTATTTGTTTTATTCAGATAAAAATACTGAGCAAAGTAGCAGAAAATATTGTTTTCTGGTACTTATGTTGTGCAAATCCTTCAGAAATTAGTTTGGGGATATCTGCCGTCACCCTCTGTGTGAAGACTCCTGCTCTCTCATTCAATGAACGATTGTAACTTTGCACTAATATTTTGCTGAAAAGTTGGTTCCGTCATTCTAGTGAGCATTATCAAGCAGGGAGAAAAGTTTTCCAAATTCACCAGTCCGTATGACCAACATTGTTTGCTCGTTTATAGGCTGTAACGCATTTCCCTCCCATTACAATTAAACTTTCAAAGGCAGTATTGTCCTAGTGCATATAATATGGAGTTCTCCTTTAACCGGATTAGACCTGTAATGAAAATACTATTTGTTTTAAACACATATTTTAAAAAAGTAGTAGTTTGGGGAAAGAATATAACTGATACAAATTCTTCTTTTCTCAAGGCAAGGCAAATTACTCAAAAAAGATTCATCCCCATGAAACACTACAAGAATGGCAGATTCCACTGATGAGAAACAAAATTGGTAAGAATGCTTCAGCTATCATGTATTACGTCATAAAGTCACTGCTGCACCCACTGAGGGATATGCAAGTTATGCAGTTGAGTGCATTTCCACGCTGGGAAGAGGGATTTGACAAGACAATATTCTGACTGGTATGGAGCGTCAGGAATATAATTTAAAAAACTGGGATAAAATAAATGCAATTATTGAATATGTTCTTCGGTCCCTCAAGCTCTGAACGCAATACTAAACTGTGTGAATTTGGCTTTTCAAAATGGCCCTCCATTTCATTAAACTACACCTCAGGGAGATCCGTTTTTAAATAGTAAAATACAAAGCTTCCTTTTTGATTTTGTAAGTTCCCACTCGTCTCTGAATAATATAAAACAAGCTGCAATGGACAGTGTTTTCATTTCCAATCTTTCTGATGTCGGTAAGATGTCCCTTTTCTATTTAGAATTGATGTTTGGTTTGCATTTTTTGGGAAACTTGGGTTTGAAATTATAAAGGCAATCAGAAGACGATCTCTCCAGAACTTTGGCTATTTGAACATTTAGCACTTGGTGCATATATCGTTTGATATCACGGAGTGCTGTGGTGTGTAGGTGGGTGAGAAAGATTATGAAGCAAAGCAACATTTGAAGAATCGAGTCTGACCTGATGTTCACAACAGGGACAATGAAGGAGTAAAGGACAAGGATGAAGTAGTTATCACTTGCAAAGTTCCGCTCCAACTAGCAATTATACTTTTTTTTGAGGGGAGGCAACTTCTAATTCATAATTGTGCAATTGGCTGCTGCGTTTTGCTCACAGTCAATCCACTTTGCTATATATTCTGTGCAGAACTTTGAGACGTCTCAAAGACGTGTTAAGGCGCTATATCAAATGCAAATATGATTATTAATAATAATTCTAAGCGACTTCCAGCTTTTTACATTTCCATGTACTTGACAATTTGCTGCCGAGGAACAGTTGCCGGCCATTTCCCTTCATTGTTTCCTCTGATCGTGTGTTTCAGTGAGTCGCCAGGACCCAGCAGCAGTGGGATTGGATTTGATATGGGCGTAAGAGAAATCAAAACTGCAGAAGAGTCAAAAGACGTAACTGAAGCCTGCCCGGCTGGAGTGTCAATGCAGCTGTGGAAAGTATGTCCAGATTACTTCACCATTAAAGCCAACTACACAGAGTGACATCCTATTGAGACAAAGCCACATTTTATTCCCCTTTATTCCGGTCATCCTTAAAAAATTTGGATGTGGATCATGCAGGGACTATTCACTGGGACTGGAGAGCGTTGCCACCAGCAAACATGCATTTCGATCCTGTTCAAATTCTGTATCTTATATGTTTGTTCCCTTGCAGAAATTTAGCAGTTATTTTATTGCCTCATTTTCCAAGTAACTACTGGGAGAGGTGCATTGGACAAAAACAAATGATTACATTTGTATAGCGCCTTTCAAGTCAGGAGAACTTCCCAAGGCGCTGGGCAGATGCTGAGTTGTTCCGCTGCTTTTTTTTTTGTTGTTTAAAAAAAACACCTTGTCCTGTGGCCAAGTATTTTAAGATGCACTCACTATCGTGCCTGGACTTAATAAGTCATGATCAGCAACTCAGTGTGGAAATATTGAATGAATCATGGGTCTCGACTCTGAACGCACTCTGGATTGGCCTAGCCATTGCCAGAAACAAATATTTGTTTGTTGCAAATCCTGGAATAACTTCAACTTGCATCGAATAAATAGGATATCTCATTGTGAAAACTAGTCTCTTCACACTTTTCTTTTTTGAAAACTTAGACAAACTTGCTCTTCAAATTTAACACTCAGAGGTTTCCTTTTGTTATCCCTGTAGAGAGTCACAAGACAAGTTGCTCAGTGGGTTACTGTTGGAACTTAGCCAGCTAAAATTAAGGTGATTACCAGCACAAAACTCTCTCTTACTTCCCCCGCCACCCTCCTGCTTGCCTGACATAGGTATCAGATCAATGAATCCCACTACATTGAAAGTTATCTGCTTGATAGTCGCCGTGGGGCACGTAGGGCGTTATACCAATGCAAGTTGATATCGCTGTGTGTCTTAACCCTTTGTTTTTCATTTTTTTTATATATAAAAAAAGAAATTCCAGGAATTGAGGGAAAGAAAGAATTCCATAACCAAAACCTCATTTAGAAAGCGAGTTCGAGGAAAACGAAAAGCTGGAGATAGAGGTACAGTGTATTATCGGGCAATTTGTTCACTTTATTTCTTTAAAAATAGAGCAAGCAACTGTTAATGGCTCTGTATTTCTATGAGAACAGTACCACAATTGAAGTTGATGGAGTTTTTAATAATCCTTGCATTTCGTATAGCACTTAATTAGGTTGGATGGACGTCTCAAATATTCACGGTGAAATGGAGTGAATGTATTTGTCGGCCAATGTGGCAGCCCAATTACACACAATAATGTTCCTCAAACAGCCATGAAACAAATGACTAATTTTTATTTGGGGGAATATTAGCTAGGAGACCAGCAGAAACTCCTTTCTCTCTTTGAATAGTGCCGTAGGTTCTTTAACGTCCACCTAAACTGGCAGACGGGACCTCAGTTTAACGTAACATCTGAAGGACAGCATCTCTGACAATGCAGCACACCCCCAGCACTGCATTGGAGTGTCAGGTTAGTCCATGTGAGTTCAAGTCCCGACATGGGATTTGAGCCCACAACCTTCTGAGTCAAAGGCGAGAGTGCTACCACTGAGCCAGGCTGACACTTTTGAAGGAGCAGTTTACTGCATTTGATTTTATATATTTACAAAGTTTTCTTTTATGGAATACAGTTGTGTCCTCCTCCTTCCCCGGAGAATTTCATTTAAAAACAATTTATAATTTTTTTTAGAGTTGCCACAATGCAGTTCTAACCTGATTCCCTGGTCCCACTCCCACCCATCTCGATCAGTCTAAGGCATCTCCAATGGGGCGTCGGGGGAAATAATAATATTAATCCTTGCATTACATCGAAGCTCAACTATACAAACATATTGCTTGTCGGCCTCCTTTCTGGGTTCCTCCGGGTTCCTACCTACTGCTAGGTAAACAGGCATTTTGAGTAAGGAAACTTGCCCACGTTATGGCCTGCCGAGATTCTAGCCCAGGTCCTTACGCTTGCGAGGCGAGCGCTCTAACCAATGAGCTACAGAATTCCACATGGGCCAAGGGTGACCAAGATGTTGCAGTCTGCTCAGATCCCCGCGCCCACACATAACACTGAGCTTGGCAGGAAAGCAGAAATAATGCTGCTGAAATTAATTTATTTTAAATTATACGTTTTTGATGGACAGGTTACTGGCATCAGATTCAAAATGTCCTTTTTTTTTACACACACACACCTCCCCTTTCCTATCAACCAGGTCAGTTTCACTAGTAATTAGTCCTTCTTTAAAAAGGTATCCATCCAGATGTCTTCACTATTATGAAATGTTCCTTTCGAAGTGGAATACAAATTATTCAGCTGATGCAGTACACCTGAAGTTAGCTGGTTATTGTAGGTTGACTATTTGGAAGAATTTTGTACAGCAAGTCACTGAATTTTAAAATTGTTTTTATCTCAAAATTAATGTTAAAGATTCGTTTTTTCACTGCTTTGAAGATTATTATCTTCCTAGAAACTTAGTTATTTTCAGTGAATGCAAAACAGCAGAAAGCCCACTTTTCACATGCCTGCAAAGTTGATGTAGCAGATTAGGTGATATGTTTCATTTCCTCTCCATTTGCTGTGCTGAACATGGACTTTAGTAAGACGCGTTATGTCTAAAGCTGTTAATTTATTATTAATGAGAACAATCCTTGCATTTGGTATTGTGCTGTTTTGCCCACAAAATATACAGTTCATTCACTTTACAATATATTCGGTGAAGCGCTTTGAGACATCTAGAAGATGTGATAAGGGGCTATATCAAATGCAAGAATTATTATTGTAATTATAATGGCAGCAAATTTCACTCATGCTCTTTAGTCTCAATGAAGAGTGTTGCTAGTGTCCACACTGGCAAGCTGTGTGGTTTTAGATGGACAAAGTACACCAAACACACATTAGGTAACCAGGTTCTGTACCTCCAGAAAGAGAGTGCGTTCTGTATTTCAGACAAGCGGAAATGTCGACGCATATTTGGAACTCTTTGTCATTATTATCAAGTCTTTGAGACGTCTCAAAACACTTCATAGGATTACTGTGACGTGTAGTGACTGTGTTTTCTGTAGATGAATATGGCAGACAATTTGCGGACAGCAATATCCCACAAACCTGAAGTGAACAACCAATTTTGTTGGCCAGGACACCAGGAGAAGTTCTTTTTTTCAAACAATGCCACAGGATCTTAAAATGTCAGTTTAGTCAGCAAAAGGAACAGTTTTTATTAGTATAGAAATAGGCATGTACCATACCTTACCTCTGTGGTTCTGAACAACTGCAAGGCAAACAAAACACACTATTAGCAACTCCGGCTTTTATTAGAAACGTTATTTTAATTGTGTAATGAATACCACTATGAATACCTTCTTTGTTTGAGAAACTTGAGAAAACCCTGAGTAGCACTGATTACAGGCAGTAGAAGCTTGCAAGAAGGTGATGACAATAAAAACAACAACTTATATAGAGTGATCTGTTTGCCTCTGGGTTGATTGGGCATTGGTGCAGAGGAATCCAAAAGAGTTGAAACAAATGGAAACAGGAGGGTTTCTCCTGTGTGTTCAGGTGATTTTTTGTGGAGCGGAATGGAATTCGTTCAAATAGAATACAATAAAAATTGTTGTGGAGTCCTGTCGCTTCTTGCCTTCTTGGAGAACTTGCCCCAACAACAACAACAAAATTACATTTATAGAGCGCCTTTCACGTCGGGATGATGTCCCAAAGTGCTGAACAGTCAGATGTTGGGGCCCGAGCATGGGGGAGGGGTGGTGTAGAGGTGAGGGAAGGCAGAGAGGTGGGAGGGAGACCAAAGGCGGGGTCGAAGAGAAGGGTCTTGAGATCGGTCTTGAAGAATGCAAGGGAGGAAGTGAGGCGAAGGGACCGTGTGATGGAGTTCCATAGTGTGGGGGCAGAGAGGCTGAAAGCCCGGCCACCGATGGTAGGTTGGGCGGAAGAGATGAAGCAGGCTGGAGCCTGATGAGCGGAGAGAGCGGGCAGGTTGGTAGGGAGTCAACAGGTCAGAGAGGTAGGAGGGGGCAAGGCCATGGATGGCTTTAAAGGTGAGGACGAGGATCTTGAACTCGATCCTCTGGGGGATGGGGAGCCAGTGGAGTCGGGTGAGGGTGGGAGTGATGGGGTCATGGAGCCTGGTGCGTGAGAGTACACGAGCTGCAGAGTTTTAGATGTTGAAATATTGATATGTGATGGATTATGATGAAAGTGCAAATGGGCCAAAAATAAATACACTGATGCCAGTAACCCATTGCTGTCTGCCAACAGCAAACATCTAGACTCCCAACCCCCAATTTGTACGGTCATTTTATATTGTTTCTCCCATTTTTCATCTATGTGACCCCAAGTGCTACAATCCCAGTCTGTCAAAAGGCCTGCTTCCTGCAATGGTACCTCCTACCAGACTGGAACTGGCTCTCCGTCTGATGTGACATCCTTTTTGAGTGGTGCAACTGAGATCAGAAACCCCACATTATTGCCCAAGAGGTTCAGTTGAACAAGGACCTTCAACTCATTTGATATCCTTCCAGAAAACCCATCCAACCCTCTTCCCATTCCCATAACAAGACGTTTCTTAAACCAATCCATTATCTTGGAGGAACTGCAGTGTGCAATCGTATCCTCCAATCTATCTGCCTAATAGTGCTGTATTGAAGGGTATTAGAAGTTTTTTTTCCCCCTGTACTTATAACATACTGTATTTCTATCATAAGCATGAGATACATGACCTGTACAAACAAAGGTGGAATCCTGTAGCTCAGTGATTAGAGCACTTGCCTCGCAAGTGAGAGACCTGTGTTGGATTCCTGGCAGAGCGAAACGTTGGGCAATGTACTCCTTACTCTACACTGCTATGTTTACTTAGCATTAAGTAGGAACCCGGTTGTTAGTCGATTGGTGGATCACTTTTCCGGGGGTAATAATTCCTTAAGAAAAAATTTGTCACTCAATCCATGACTACTGTGTGCAATTTGGAGTCCTGTAGCTCAGTGGTCAGAGCGCTCACCTTGCAAGCGAGACACCTGGGTTCAATTTCAGGCAGGGAGAAACCTTGGGCAAATTTCCTTACTCCACACGCCTAATAATAATCCCTCCAAAACAAACACAATAATAAATTGGCTCATTTTCAATCCACGACTGTTTGGGACACTGTTGTGCCGCGTTTCGCCCACAAATATACGGTCAATTCACTTTACAGCATATTCTGTGAAGCGCTTTGAGACGTCAAGAAGACGTGAAAAGCGCTATATCAAATGCAAGGATTATTATTATTATTATTAATTGGCTGTTGCGTTTTGCCCACAAACAACAGTATATTCTGTGAAGTGCTTTGGGACATCTCAAAAGACGTGATAAGGCGCTAGATCAAATGCAAGGATTATTATTATTACAATCCTAAAATAGAATTCCAGTGATCGTTTAGGCACAATGATTTGCATGTTCTAAAAAGTGAGTATTGCTGATTGTGGTTTTGGGAGAAGCACAATTATATTGTTTTCTTCTTCTGTTTTCCCTCCGGCACTTGGTGTTGCCAGGGGTAAAATACGCTCTTTTCATCTGTCGAGAATGATGGGATAAAAGTTTCCTCTCTGGCAGCTGTACGGCTCCTATGTGAAATGGATGGTGTTTAATCAATATTCCTGGTGGCAGAAGTAAATGACCTGTACAGACAATTTCTGACACAGGCAAAGACTTTTCTCCTCCTCCTTTCCCCCTCCAAAAAAATAATTGTGACAGAGCTGCAGCACATACATTTGGGTTGTGTGAAGCACATTGCAAATCATACTCATCACAAACTATGCAATACTTGTTCTGATTACAAGATTCAGTTAAAATACATTATCATAATATATAATATAAATCCTCGCATTTGATATAGCGCCTTATCCCTATTGAGACGTCTCAAAGTGCTTCAGAGGATATACTGTAAAGTGAATTGACTATATATTTTGTGGGTGAAACGCGGCAGCCAATTGCGAGTATCAGCGTCCCACAAACAGTTGTCGATTGAGTGACCAAATTATATTTTTTTAAGGGTTTTTTGCTCCCAGAAAAGCGATCCGCCAATCGACTAACAACTGGGTTCCTACTTACTGCTGTTGAATGGAGGAGTGTGGAGTAAGGAAATTTGCCCAACATTTCACCCTGCCCGGGAATCAAACCCAGATCCCTTCGCTTGCAAGGCGAGTGCTCTAACCACTACGCTACAGAAACCACCTCATTGCTGTTTGGAGAACATCCTTGCCGTATTTGCTTACATAACAAGTCACTATGCTTCAAAGTAAATTATTGCGTGAACTTCTTGAGAAATGTTTTAGTATGCAAAGGTGTCATATCAAATAGGTCTATCAGTCAAATTGTTGACGAGCGTCCTAAAGTCAACTATTTGTGGATAGTTTAGTTTATTTCTTCACACAGATGTCGCTACAAGTGCAGGAGAGAGCAGGGAGGATTCCTCTGCCAAGGTGCAGAAATCTGAGCCAGGAAAGGAGACCGATAACAAAAGGTACTGCCCTGGAATGAACACAGTTTATTTAGTCCTGTTGGCTATTGGGTCATTGTCTTTGCATATGGAGGCAACACGTCTGAATTTCATCATTTGTTAACTTTGTTCAACCCGAACGAAAAGGAACAATCCTCCCTGTAAAGATGAGGCAAAACATCAGTACCGGGATAATGAATTTATACCCACTCACATCATTTGATATTGTCTACCTAGTATTGCGACAAATTTAATAGAAAAAATCGTTTATCCAAAAACATAAGTAATCCTTAATAGACAGTGATGTATCTCCTTCCCCTCCTAGTGATCAGAGTGTAACAGCAACAACTTGCATTTGTATAGCGCCCTTCACATAGGCAGTGTCTAAACATGACTCGTGTAGTATAAGCACCAGCATGGACTAGTTAGGCTGAATGGCCTGTTTCCGTGCTGTAAAGTCTGAAGATCATTTGTAAACATTTTTAAAAAACTCTATGCAATTAGCAGTAGGTCGTATGATGTGGGATTGCCATTAATACAGATTTGCTATCTTCCTCTAGCAAGGTGACTGCACAAGAGGCCCATTGGAGTGACCTGAAGCAGTACTTTGGAGCAAATGACAGGTTTGAACCTCCTGCCTGCAATAGATCACCTCCAAAGGTAATGCCTACTTTTATCACAATGTTACTTGCTACCAACAGTTGACTTTTTGGAACAACTCAAGTGTCGCTTGTTCCTCATGCCATTTTAATGTCCTTTATAGCCATTTAATCGTTTTATGTACGAACTTCAATGAGCGGAGAACAATCCGGCATCCATTCAGTGCTGAAACAGATGGTTTTCAAATCAATTATCTGTTTTGCCTCTCTGCTTTAGTTCCCCCCTCCCCTTTTTATTAGCCCTTCATTTCCACGTCTCACCTGTCTTTTGACAAAGCAAGTTAGCCCCAGGACTTCTGATGCCAATGCAAAGTTTATGGATGTGCTCTCAAGAGATGTGCACCCAGTAATAATGGGATGTCCATTTCCTTCTGGGTGGGAACTTATCCTGCATAAAATGGCAGGTCGGAATGCAGCATTGCATTCAGATTGTTTTCGCAGGCCCTAATCTGAATAAAACCTGTCACTTTAAAGATGTTCAGCGTGCAAATGGGTATCTGCTGGTGGAGCAAGGGCATTAAACCAGTGCATGCAATGCAGGAAATCATTGTTATGCCTATTTAAAGTATTTCTTCTTTAAATTAAATGACAGGCGCTTGAGGTTGGATCACCTCAGGTGAACCAAGAGTGATTTACATCTATCTGTTTCACTGATTTATTGGTGTCAGACTAATTAGATTGTTTGTTGGGGCCAATCTAAAGGCAGCATCAGCCCCTCCCGCCACGACGATGATAATAGCGATGCAATAATATTTGTCCCTGAATCACTGTAGAACTTTCAGTTGACTGATTACTTGAATGCTTTTCTACTGTTGTCGGATATTCCAGTAGTTTCTGTATTATTCTCACATCTAAAGGGTTTCGTTCCGAACCTCAAAAATGAGTTTTAATCCCATCAACATACATACACACCTGTTGCCACGCTGGAAGGGCAACCTGATTTCTCACACAATATCGTTGTTTAATGATTGCATTGTAATGAAGACTGAAAAAAAAGTTGTATTCCATGGGATATATTTTTAACACAAAAAATTGTTTTTTTTTAAAAAAAAGTGCATTTGGCTTAAGGTGTTTTAAGGCCCAATATATATTGGAAACCATACATTGTTTAATTATCACAATGTTTTTGTAATGTAGACTAAGGAAGTGCTGGCCAAGGATGAAGATATCAAGATTTTATTTACGTATTTCTGCTTATTTTCTTTTCACAGTTGCCAAGCTTTCTCTTGTAGCCACTTGCCATGGCTGCCATGTTGAAACGTTTAATAACATACAGCTGCATACCAAAGTTAAATATTTAGACATTTTAAGACCTGAATGCAGATTGACAGTGTTAATCAGTGTGCTTCATGTCACCTTAATGGCATTGTAAAAAAACAGATCTGCTGCAGGGGCTGAACCGATAAGACTTGCGCTGAAGGTATAATTGACGCAAAACAGGTCAAGACTAGTTCAGCAAAGTGCAGATTGCAGTAATCCATCTATCACACTAGCATTTAAACCTCACTTTATGTCAGCTATCATGCAATGATTTAAGTCTCTTTTTATGTCTTGAAGTAAGAATTTTGTGTGAAAATAGATTGTGCCCCAAGCAGATCAAATCAAGCATAAGGTTGCGTGAACACTGTAGATCGAGTTATCTGCCAGCCTAGTTTGTTGATGTTAATAGTGCAGACCAACACCTTCGTAGGAATTGTACGCTTTTATAAGAATAATAATCCTTGGATTTGATACAGTGCTTTTCACGTCTTCAAGACATCTCAAAGCGCTTCACAGAATATACTGTAAAGTGAATTGACTGTATATTTGTGGGCGAATGCGGCAGCCAATTGCGCACAGCAATGTCCCACAACCAGTCGTAGATTGAAAATGACCAAGTTATTATTGTTTTTTTTGGAGGGATTATTATTAGGTGTGTGGAGTAAGGAAACTTGCCCAAGGTTTCGCCCTCTGCCTGGAATTGAACTCAGGTCTCTCATTTGCAAAGCGAGTGCTCTAACCACTGAGCTACAGGACTCCACTTAGGCTATATGCGAAGCATGGCAACTAATTGCTCACAGGAGTGTGCCACAAACAGTCCCTCCCAAAAAATATCTAAGTATATGTTTAATAATTTGGTCACTCAAATCACTCTTCATGGGACACTGCTGTGCGCAATTGGCACACAATTTAAAATTTAAAATCCACTTTACAATACCACCCGTGAAGCGCTTTGAGATGTCTCAACGGTGTGATAAGGCGCTATATCAAATACAAGAATTCTTCTTATATACCATCCTAAGCAAATATGAGGTTTAACACACAATGCGATTTGTTGAGGTTCATTTATTAACATTGTTTCTTCAGACAATTCTGGAAAATCGAATCGACCAAGCCATTGAATCAGGAGATATAGACGAAGCAGAGCAGTTGAGTGACACCCTGGCTGTTCGCGAGGTAAGGTGACAGAGCCAAGAGAAACCTGTGACTATTTTGGCAAATTAGCTTAATATTTATCTACTGACAAGGAAGTTATCTCTGGAGACTAAGCCAATTTCTCTTGACACCTTAAAGGGAAGTGATTTACATACAAAATATTTCGCCTGACACGTCGGAGATTTCCTACTTTAAAAAGGATTCTTGCTAAAAGTAACTTCACTCCTAGGGACCAAGCTGAGACCTTGATGTGCGGCTCATGTCACCCTTGTACTCCAGTAAGGGTCTCCATTCTCCCCAGCAGAGAAACAAACCCCTTTCTTTCCTCCACTCTTGATCGAAACAGTCATCAAATAATTCCAAGCGGGCATGGTGCGTGGCAGCATTTGGCTGTGTGACCCATGCTATTTAATCATCGGCCACTTAGGCTTGGCATTCAGCAGTGAAAAGGGATACACATTGAGTTGAGTGGAGATGCCACTAAAATTGGCTTAAAAAAAATTGTCGAGCGCTTGGGAGGGACCTTCATCTGACCTTGAAATGTTGGGTCTCCAGAAGAGTGCAGTGTGGTACTGCTGAGGAGGTTTCACTTCACATTTCAGAAATGTTCATCAATTATTTATTTGACCGCACATTCCCCTGAAGGTTCCTTCTATTTTAATTATTTAACTTCGATTCAGAACCAGTTTAAATGTTGGCAAACTAGCTTTTATGGGACAAGGGCCGACAAATATCCTTGTTTAATTCGAACATTGAGAAATATTGCATCTCTGGACTGTCATTCATTCTTTATCGAATCGCAGAAAGATTTCCAGAACCTGAGAACCTTAATAAAGAGCAGAGTGGCATTTTCTTGTGTTTAGAGCTTCTGTGAACTTAAGAAAAAATGTGCTGTTTCGTGGGATAAATATCACAACGTTTAATATTTTAATATCGGAAGGGTAGGACATTATTCCCGTGCATGTTATTTTGAAAGCTGCAAATGTCTGCGCTTTGAGGTATTCTTACTGCGTAAAAGGTGTTGTATCATGCAAATTGTTGTAATCAGTGGGCTAATTGGCAGTGTTAGGTACCTCTTTACCTCCGTGCTGTATTATGGGCATTGACGGAGTCTTATTGATGAATGTAATTGCAGCCACAGTGGTTACGTTTAGGTTAAATAATACGTCGGCGTGCAAGTTTTACATGCACTTCATGGGAGATTGCACTAACTCGGGTTTAAACATGGTAAAATTACATTAGCAATTCATAAGACTTGGTGCCACGGCAGGTTATTTGCGGAATCACTTATGGAGGACAGGGAGCAATAAATGGAGTGTTGGGGGAGCAGCCGTTCATTAGCATGTTGATTTTTACGGTGGCCTCAGACCTGGGCTGCCAATGACAACACCTTAGAAGGGATGCAGCCCAGTGCACTAAGCTGTGCGGCTAGAGTACCACAAGCTCAAAGGAAGGCCCAGAAGAATTTCAGTTGCTAATAGCTTTGTGCTTTGCTATTGCTGAATAAAATCCAGGGTTTGCGCTGCGACAACACGGGTTGCATAAGGTTTGGTAGCTTCACAGTTTTCTGCAAACAGCCAAATCAAGGGCAGGCAGAGGGAGTGCTGATATGACTGGCAGAATGTGTTTTGATGATATATATCGCAGGCGAACCACATTCATTTTATTTCACAACACATTTACAAAATTACATTTCTATAGCGCCTTTCATGTCGGTAGGACGTCCCAAGGCGCTGAATACGACAGTGAGTCGTATTCATTTGCTCCAACACCGTGTGCATCTGTGTTTTTTTTTCTCATCAAAAAAAAAGGGCAGATGCTAACCTAAGGTTTTCCTGGAACTGTGACAAAAATGTATCATCCGTACTTTCAAAAAGGAAAGAAATAATTCCATTTGTGCAGGAAGAAATTCAGCTCGACTCATTTTGAATGCTGACAGATGGACATGCTTTATTTGAGGTGTCAGTGTGCTCGCTGTCTATTAAAATGTCACTCCCAAACCACCTTCTGCAGACTGCCTAACAGGAATTTAAGTCTTACTTTAAATGGGAAAATGGAGGTAATTTATATTTTGACATTCTGTTCCAACCTCTTCACTGGTGTTCCTGAATTGTTAATTTAAGAGTTCTAATATACTTTTTTTATGTAGTTGCGTGAGGTGTCGCTATTTTCTGAGACATTAGCCACAAGTTGGCCTTACCTGAGCTCCCAAATCACATCTGGATAGAACCGGGGGATTTAGTTGCATGAATGAAGGTTTTTGTTTGTGAGTAGTCAGAGTTCTGTGAGTAAATTAAGTTGAATCGTGACTCCAGACTTGGATTGCCACTGTAATGAGTTCAGATTCTCAAGTGAGGTACCTGTCATAAGGACGATGGTCAAAAAAATTATTTGGTCACTCAATCCCCGACTGTTTGTGGGAGACTCCTGCGCACAATTGGCTGCCGCGTTTCGCCCACAAAATATGCAATTTGTGGAGTCCTGTAGCTCAGTGGTTAGAGCACTCGCTTTGCAAGTGAGAGACCTGAGTTCAATTCCAGGCAGGGCGAAACCTTGGGCAAGTTTCCTTACTCCACACGCCTAATAATAATCCCTCCAAAACAAAAACAATAATAAATTGGTCATTTTCAATCTACGACTGTTTGTGGACATTGCTGTGCGCAATTGGCTGCCGCGTTCGCCCACAAATATACAGTCAATTCACTTTACAGTCTATTCTGTGAAGCGCTTTGGGACGTCCTCCCGACGTGAAAAGCGCTATATCAAATGCAAGGATTATTATTATTATTATTAATCAATTCACTTTACAGTATATTCTGTGAAGCGCTTTGAGACGTCTCGAAGACGTGATCAGGTGCTATATCAAATGTAAGGATTATTATTATTCGTACAAAGCAGAAAGAGGATGGACACCTTTCTTTCCTGTCAACTTTCTCTTTGGAAATTCTGACTCGGGCTTTTGTACCCAGCCCAGCCATCCTTTACCTTTTACTCGTTCGTTTTTCTGGAAACGTTCCCTGGAAATGTTGCAACCATTTGGTTTGACGTTTGAAAGCTGCCGCTGATGTTAGCAGCTGTGCTTTCCCATGGTGATAATGTACTCACTCTCACTGAGTCACACATCTGCCCTGCAGTCACTTGGGATCTTACCGGTGGGTGTTTTAAGGACCTGAGCAATAATGGTGAATCCTAATCACCTATACGGTGAGAATGCAACTTGCCATCCTCGTGTATGGCATCTCTCTTGGTTGGGGTGGGACCCCTGAATAATTGGCATTAGCGTGGCACAGTCAGCAGCACTTTCACCTCAGCTTAAGGTTGTCGGTTTCAGCCCCCAAATCAGGACATGATCTCATAGTCTAGACTGACAGTCCACTGCATTGACTGAAGTGCCTTCCTTCAGATGACGCATTAAACCAAACTGCTGTCGGATCTTAAAGTTCTCAGGAGACTATTTAAAAAGGGAAGGGAGTTTCTCAATGCCATGAACACATGCATTCTGTGCTGGAATCATGTGGCACAACATAATGCCCAGAAAGTTATTATGGAACTAATAAACTGGTGAAACCTGTTCCCCAGTAGCAGTGAGTGATTTTGAATGCCAGACTGAAACCATTGCCAACTTGTTTAGCGACATGCACTCAACCACTCGTGCTTGTTACATATGGTTGTCTTGTTTAGAGTTTACTTGATCATTGCTGTCAATAAGCCTCCCTGTATAGAGAGCCTTTATAAGGTAGAGGAATTGTCACTTTGCAAAGGAAGGCAGTCCTGTCAAGTGTTGACCAATCACATTGTTCTGTATTTCCCACTTCACTGTTAAAGTCGTTAACTTGTCACAGTGTTTATGTAAAAGGTCATTTGCAATATGTTATTTATGGTTTTTCCATGCAGGGTAACATTATTTAGAATGAAGATCTCACGATGTATGGTAGGAAGGAAGATGTTTTGGCAATTAACTGAAGCTTTAAATTACCAAAGTTAACATTTGAATTACACAAGCAGTCAAACAGCTAGAGATTGCCACCAACTGTAATTATACACAGATTTCTTACTGATTGGACATCTCTACAAGAGAGGGGGAAAAAAGCTTTGTAATGTACTTGGTGGCATAATAAAGAGAAATGTTGCCGTATTTGAATTGCAGTTGAACAGCCATCCTATTTCCTTACCAATACCTTGATAATTTATCCATATGTCTTAAACTACTCAGGGGGAGGAAACAAAAATACACATTGATTAATGGTATGGTAAGTAAGTGAATGAAATAGGATGTTCGAGTTTGTTGCAGTCGTCCATTATTGTTTAAACAAAAANTAGTTTCCATTGCCCAGAAATAAATTTATCTCTAATATTTGAAGATTATCCATTCAAATAAGAAAGATACTGTTTAGGGAAACTTCATGGCTTGGGTGGAGGGTGCTTTATTATTTGTGTTTGCCAAGCTGAAGGAGAAGTATGTGGCTTACCTGTTTCCCCAGAATGTTTTCAGACCGGTAAGCATTTTGCTGTTGGCCTGAAGCAATCTCCTGATCTGTACTTTCTTATTTGGCTGAAACTCAAACTTCACATTTGATTTGTAGTTTCAGATAACTGCTGTTTCTGCAAAGGTGCCGTACTGTCTGTGAGTGCTTTAGCCCACGGCAACAATTTGAATACAATAAAATGTATTGACCTCATTTAAGAACCTGTCAAAGTGAATTTACAGATCTGGTGTAATTTGGGGGTATTAAATTATTAGTTAATTGTCTTAAGTTTCTCATGAGGCAATAACCCTGTTCTCATATGCAAGCTGTATCTCCTTCCTGCAGTCAGTTGTGAATTGATTGCGTCTTAAAATGCAATCTTTTAAAACCTTTTTAAAAGGGTCCAGGTAGATAGGAACATACCTTGCCAGAATCCTTACCTTCAGGTGGAACTATCTCTCCTGTTGGCCGATACTAGTAGAGCCACACAGACGAAAACGATCCAGTTTTGATCCCCGCTGTTAAGTTTAGCTCTCAGTTGGGGAGGCAGTAGAG